CAGCCGATGATGAAGATGCCGACCTAAAGCGTAACAAACGCAGAGAGACCACGCAAGGCAAGGAGGCACTGCCCGTCCACACTGCGGGGTACTTGAAACGCTGAGCAGTTGACGCAAATGACAATCGCGAGGACACCAATCCGGGCGCCTCTACACAGCATTTGCGGCAGCCCCAAATAACCCTCAGCTCTGTTGTTATGAGGCCTGCCCTTCCGTACGAACTTAGAAGCTGTCGGCACCTTGCAAGCGTAGCCTTTCAAAAGAACAACTGGAACCAAAGAGTCTGGACAGGCCACCCATTTCAAAACACATCTCAAATGATGGCATCAGCACATCTCAGCACGAGGTCCTGGCCTAGCTTGTTCAGATTCTGCTGCAGCGGGGTCTGATTTCCAGAGGTGTCTGGGAAGCAAAAGCAAGTTGTCTTCTGTCCACCATCCTTGCATGGAATCTAACTGCTAATTCCTTTAGCTGCTTACGCAAATTGATTTGTGCTTGCTGCTGCTGGAAGCAATTTGGGCATGGCTCCTCACCAGCAATGAGTTTGGCAATGCGACCGATGCCTCACAACACCAATACGCAGAAGCCCGAAACATGGCAGCAAGGATGAGTTTCTCGTAACGCAAAACAGCCAATGCAGGCATCTTGACTTGTACCACATCAGACGATTCTTGGCATCAGTCATGCACAGCGGACACATCTGACCCGGCACTGACATTAAACAAACCTGACCGATCCTCCTCCAGCTCTGCCCATGCTCTGCTCATCTTGCGCTCCTCAAACGCTTTAGCCAAGCGGCGGGTGTTCATGCCGGTGTCCGTCACCAGGCCGCGGCCGAGTCCGCTGGTGATGCTGCAGCCGGAGAAGGCCATGGTCTCAGGCGTGAGCCTCAACTCAAAGCTGCAAGGCCCGGGCCAAAAGACAATTCCTCATCCTACAGAGCCCTCACATGCCCTCACAACCTTCCACACGTCTCGAGCTAACCCGCAGGTCCGGCAAAGCGCGGCCCGAGCAACTTTTCGGGGGCACCATCCTTCTTCTCCTTCACCTTCGAAGTCTTGGCCACATCGTCAGGCTCGCCTGCAGCCCGCTACACATCTAGTCAGGCACCCGATCTAGTCTTACCATGGAGGGCACCCGGCCTGTGAGCGCCATCTC